GAGAGAGAGAGAGAGAGAGAGAGAGAGAGAGAGAGAGAGAGAGAGAGCGAGCGCACAGATGTTTACAGTAACTTGGATGCTAGAGGTTGATGTGGGTTCCTCCACATGATGATGATGACAGTGATGACGATGACCCGGGATTAGTTGAGAGCCTTGTACCTGAGGAGTGACTGTGCTATCACTGAGCTCCAGCCCCAGCCCCTCTACTGTAGGTTTTTTGATTTTTCAAGACAGGGTTTCTCTGTGTAGCCCTGGCTGTCCTGGACTTTGTAGAACAGGCTGATTTCGAACTCAGAAATCCGCCTGCCTCTGCCTCCCAAGTGCTGGGATTAAAGACGTGCGCCACCACTGCCTGGCTGCACTACTGTAGTTTTCGAGAGAGTCTCTTTACTGAACCTAGAGCTTGCCACGGGGTTACAGGCTTGTGCCCCCCATGCCGAGCTTTCAAGTGAGTGTTTGGGATTCAAACTTAGGTCTTCACACTTGTTCGGCAAGTACTTTACCTACTGAGCCATCTCCTTAGCCCTAAACACTGCTTCCCCCCATTTAGAGGGGCAGGTCTGTGGGTGTCTCATGGCCTTGCCCAGGCTGGCCTCAACTTCTCGTCCCAGCTGAAGCTCCTGTCCCAGTTTTCTAAGGTGCTGGGGCATTTTTTCTGTTTAAGAAAGAAGTATGTATTCCTTATTTTGGAGGCCAGTGATGAGCTCAGATACCATGCTTGCCTGGTATGTACTAAGGCCCGGGTTCAGTCCCCAGCACCACATAGAACTTGGTGTGATGGCTCACACCTGTAGTCCCAGCATTAAGAGATAAAAGCAGAAGGGTCAGTCATCCTTGCCTCTATAAGTTCCAGGCCAGCCTGGGCTACACAAGACCCTGTCTCAAACAGAATAAAACAACCTCCCCATATCAAACCAAAACAAAGGTAGAAATATATATTTCCTGTGTTTGTTTTTTAAGTCTTTAATCCAAACAAGGTAAGGAAACAAACGGTAGAGTTCTGTTTATTTTCAATGTAGTTAATTTGTGATCAAACTGTTGCGAGGCTCGGAACTGAAAAGCATAGAAAGGCACAAGTGTAGTGAAAGTCTTCCCTCTGGCTCTCCCAGTGGCAGCCGCTGCTGTCAGTGTTAGTAGTCATCTCTCTCAGGAAGTGGAGTTGGGGCTTAATAAACATTTGTTCTAGACTTAAAAAAATTTGTGTGTGTCTGCATGTGTATATGTGTACCCATGCATGCCTGGTTTTCTTGGAAGCTAGAAGTGTTGGGTCTTCTGAAACTTGAGTTACAAATGGTTATGAGCCTCCAATGTGGGTGCTGGGAACTGAGCCCAGGTCTTTGCAAGAGCAGCAAAGTGCCCTAAACTACTGAGCTATCACTCCAGTCCCAATAAAAAAAAATTAATAAAGGCCTTAACATGGGAATTGAGAAAGGCATTTGGAAGAAAGCAAGACACACCTGAGACACACTCAAGACACTGGAAGTGGTGTAGACTTCTCTGAGAGTCACCAGCGTCTGTGTAAATATCAGAAAGATTAAGATGTACTAAATCTGGATGTTTTTTCTAGAATTTTTAAAGTTACTGTAATTCAAGTGGCGAAAACATCTCAGAGAAAGAGAAATTCCCTGTTGCTGAGGAGGCTGTGAATGGCAGGAGCCTGGATGTGTTTTCTAGCTACCATGGAGGGGCTGAGGGAAGAACACTTAACGATAGTCTTTCCTTCCCCACAGCAGCTCCTTCTTCGCTGCCCTTCCTCTACCAGCTGACTCAGCTCTTCCGCCGGATCCAGAAGGCCACACTTTCTCGGCTCTACCCACTCGCCCTCCGGGACTGAGAGGTCCTACCTGGCTGCCTCTACCTCTTATAATCCATGTCTACAGAAACAGAAAAGTTGAGCCTAGTGGCTGGGTCCCAGATGGCACTGTGGGAGTGGGCCCATTCATTCTAGAAACAGTGACCAAGGCAGGTGAGCCATGGCTTGCTGCCTTTGAACCCTCCCTTTGGTATCCCACTGTGGCTGGCATCAAAGGGAGTGTGGGAACAGTGGAGCCCGAGGCCCAGCGTGCAAGTTGCCCAGTCCACTGCAACAGCTCCTTGAAAAGGGGGTGTTTAGGAGCAGGAGACATTCTGGTTTCTTGACAAAGGCAGAGGGTGACTTTCCAGATCAGGTGCCAAGGGAGCTGGCAGTTACAGACGTGTGACTGTAATGGCCCTTGGCCATTTATCTCTGAAAACTGCTGCACAGCTCAGTATTTGAATTTGAGTAAAACCAGAGGTCCCTCCTCCTCTGCACCCCTCTCCATACCCCTCCCCCATACTCCTCCCACAGATGCTGGAATCAGTCCACCATCCCCTCCCACTGGTCCGGCAGTGAGGCCCAGAGGCTTTCTTCTAGAGGCATTTTGCTGTTCAGACAGGATGTGGCTTCTGACCCACCCAGGTGGCCACTGGGAGCAAAGTGAGCCTGCCTGACCTTATCTCTGGGGAATGTGATCTTTCTTGGTGCCGCTGAGTCTTAGCTCAGTTTTCCAGCATGCCAGGGGCCAAGCGCTGCTCTCTGGGACCCAGTGTCTTATCACTGTACCCCACCATCTTTTGACCTGTCCAGCCAATTGTGTCTCACCACTGTCTCTCCTTGGTCCTTTCTCTGGGTCCTAGTCATAGTCTGTTGTTTGAATAATGCCCAAGTTTCTCGGCTCATGTGGTGTAAAAGTAGGCCAGGCTCAGGGCTGAGAGCTGAAAATGGAACTGGGTAATCAGGTGAGCCTAAGATCCATGGGAGCTGGGCCGAGGGGGTTGGGGGAGGGGAAAGGGGGCGGGGCAAAGGGACAACCCCACGGAGGAGGCACTGCACACGCCTCAGCATTTCTGTGTATGAAAATACAGAATCTTCTGGTGCCACCAGGATGGAGGCCCTCAGCCAGCCACTCACACCAGATCTCTGACAACGGATGGCTAGTGTGCAGAGGGTTTGCTAGCCTTTTGTTGCTTGATTTTTTTTTTTTTTTAGGGATTGTGAGTCAACAGAGGAAAGGAAACTTCACAGACTCTTAGAATTCCATCTAAATCTTGGCAACTTGGGAACTAGAACCATCATTTTTTGTCTGACTTTTAAATAGACCCTAGATCACTGGGGAGAGAAGGATTCAGGAAGGGTTGAAATCCCCTGACTGTGATTCCTTCACCACTGTTGCCCAACTTGGCCTTGAACGCCTGGGCTCCAGAGATCCACCCCTCCTGAGTGTCTGTGACTCACACACCTTATGACAATGGTTTTGAAATGAGGATCTGCACACTCACTGCCCTAGAAGAAACTCCTCAATGGCTTCCATGGCCCACAGCATTCAAATCCAGGTTCTTTCTAATGGAAACTTAGGTGCAGCAGGTTTGTCTGACAGCTCCCCTGCTGTGCTGCCCTATGCCCTGAGCAGACTGCATTCTAGCTGCCTGGCCCTCCTCAGGCCTCCCTGCCATGGCTTAGCTGTAACCGCTGAAGGGTCTTGTAGCAGCTCTGCTGCAGATCCTTGGCTTTTCAGGCTCACATAAGGGTTACCTAGCATTCTTTGCTTCCCAGCCCCTGTCTCCTGCTCTTCCTGCAGTAGGGCATGGTGGTGGTGGGACTGTCTGCCATGCTGTAAGCCCCGTGAGGCTGCAGAGCCCGGCTGGCAGCGTTTGAGTCGGGCTCGCATTCCTGTGTGGGCGACTGTTGGCCAGGGCTCAGCCTTCTTGTCTGTAAGTCGGTCCTCCTCTCACAGGGCCTCTTCCACGAGTAAACGGGCACTTAGGACTCTTGGCGCTTTCGACAGCCCTGAGGAAGAGTTCTTGTGAGCAGTGGCTATTCCCAGGCCCAGCTGAGCGTGGGCGGGTACTCCGGGGTGAGTGGACCGATGGAAGAGGGTATGCTCTTCTGGTGCGTGTGCAGTCCTGTGCTGTGAACTCCCTGTACAGATCGGCTTGTCTTTCTGCTCTGTCTGCCACTCCTCACAGTCGTGCTGCTGGTGGCCCACAGGGCTCTGGCTATTTTACCTGACTGCTGCAGGGGTGTCTGTGCCCTAACCACCTGCCTATCAGGTGAGAAACCCAAACTGCTGCTGTTACCTTCACCTTTCCAAGGATGTGGGCTGGTCCTCCGCTCTGGGCCTAAAGAGGTCAGAGTGAAGGGAGGGCCTTCTTGGTAGACAAGCACTAGCCTTCAGCCAAAGGTAGCTTTTGAGCATTTGAACTGTGGCTCATCCATGTGGACACGTGCTATGATTGGAAAACATACACACTGGATTTCAAAGACCAAGTACTAAAAAATAAAATTAAAAAATGGAAATACAAAGATTTTTATATTGATTGTATGTGGAAATGATAATATTTTGGATATATTGGGTTAAATAAAATCAATTAAACTAATTTCAGCTGTTTCTGCTTTATGTAGTGAGGCTTCTAGAATGTTTAAAATGTTTAGAATGTCTTATGCTGCTTGCATTTAGATAGTGCCATTTAAGACACTACACATACTGGCTAGTCTCAGAGGAGGATCAGTGTCCACAAAGAGCAGTGCATGCTGGGACTGGGAGATGTTGGGTCTAGAGAGTCTCAGTTGCAGATGGTATCTTTCAGCCACCTTCTTTTTTAGTTAACGAAACTGAGACTCAGAAAGGTGAAACCATTTGTCCTAAGTCACAGCCTGAATAAGACTCAGGCCTCCTGACCATCTACTGTTCTGTCACCCCCGCTCCGTCCCCCAGTCTTCTCTGTCATTCTCTAGCTGGAGTTCACTGTTAATAGGCAGACGTATCAGGGAATACCAGATAGAACTGATCAGCTCTCGGGTGTCTGCAGCGTGTGACGTGGCACAGACATTCTAACTTACGCAGTGCCCAGGACAGCAGGAGCAGCTGTCCTGTGGTTAGACAGGAGGCTGGGCTGGTGTGGGTGACAGAGATCAGGTAGAGGTGGGCAGGAAGCAGGATAGGCAGCACCTGAAGGAGATACGAAGTTCTAAGAAGATATGATGTGTAACATTCCCTGCCCTTTGCATGTATATGTCTGCACATATGTATACAAAGACCAGTAATAGAGTTTTACACATACAGAACAATGCCTAAGGTATAGAAGGGTTGTCATGGGACACAAAGCCTGTCCCTTGCCTTCATTCCCATGCCCCATTTTCTGCCTCAGGGCAGCTGCTGCTGGGTCCTCAGGTGTGTTCACCCTTTCTCTTATACAATGAGAGTGCACTGTTTTACACACCCTTACCAGATAAAGGAAAAACAAAACCAAAGCCAACTTCACTGATCCAGGTGACTTTGCTCCCTGTGCACACAGGTAGACCTGCTTCATTTTTTTCATAGTTGTATGACAAGATCACTTTCTCCTTTAAAAACAAAAACAAGCCCTGAGGAGATGGCTCAGTGGTTAAGCTCACTTGCTACATGGCAGAGGGCTTCCGTGTGCTTCTGGGCATCCACATGCTGACTCAGCCATCGGCATCTCCAGTTCCAGGGGATCAGACACATAGTGGTCTGAGAACAGCGTGTAGGGAATGGTCAGCCCGACTTTCTGCTCTTTGTATGGAAAAGCTGTAGGGTCAGTGGACTTTGACCTCCTAGTGTGGTGAGTTTACCTCTGCCCTAGTTAGGCAAGCTGCTTGTTCTTGACCCTGGCTGATCTTACCTGCTCATTGGAAGTTAACTGAGACATGCTTAAACGTAGGCAGGCCCCTGTGCCTTTCTTCCTCTGTGTTTTGCTTCCCTTCCTTGGTACTTTGGGGTTTTTTGTTTGTTTGTTTTTGTTTTGTTGTTTTGTTTTTCGAGACAGGGTTTCTCTGTATAGCCCTGGCTGTCCTGGAACTCACTCTGTAGACCAGGCTGGCCTCAAACTCAGAAATCTGCCTGCCTTTGCCTCCCAAGTGCTGGGATTAAAGGCATGCGCCACCACTGCCCAGCTACCTTTTTTTTTTTCTTTTTAGATATATTTATTTTATGTATGAATGTTCTCTCTTCATGTAGAGCTGCATGCCAGAAGAGGGCATCAGCTCACATTACAGATGGTTGTAAGCCACCATGTAGTTGCTGGTAATTGAACTCAGGACCTCTGGAAGAACAGATAGTGCTCTTAACTGTTGAGCCATCTCTCCAGCCCTTCCTTGGTACTTTAATTAGAAGTTAAATGCAATGAGCACGATGCCTTGAGAAGCTTTAGTGAGCCCTGCCCTGGATTAAGTAGATCCAGATGTTGTTAGTTAGCCTCTGGGCCTTTCGATAAAACACATGCTCGACTCTTTTTGACGCTGAGGGTAATTCAGGGTCTCACACCTGCTAAGCAAAACGTCTTCTACTCAGCTATCATTTTCCCTGTCTTAAAGCATTACTTCAACCTGTCCACCTATCTGAGGTCTTGCTTTTCACAACCTCAGTTGCCTCTGGTTAACCTCGGAGGGTACCAAACTGAAGACACACGATACAGTCAGGTTCAGAGAGAGAGAGAGAGAGAGAGAGAGAGAGAGAGAGAGAGAGAGAGAGAAAGAGAGGGGAGCATGCGATTAATTTCATACTGTGTCTAACTTATAAACTTAACATTTTATTTAACTGGTATGTATGTGCACAGGCATGGCACAGCATCTGTGGAGGCCAGAGGAAGACAGCCCGTGGGAGTTGGTTCTTTCCCTTCACCATGTGGGTCAGCTCAGGTCTTCAGGCTTGGCAGTCACCTTTACCTCCTGAGCCATCTTGCTGGCCCCCAATTTATTATCTTTATGATATATATGTCTATGATAAATATAGTAAGGAACACACACACACACACACACACACATTAGGATTTGCCATTATCCTCAGTCTCAGGCATCCACTAGGGAGGAGTTTCATTTCTTTGGGTACAATAGAGGTAGTGTGTGTGTATGTGTGTGTGTATGTGTGTGTATATGAATGTATGTATATGTATGTGTGTGTGTATGTGTGTGTGTGTGTGTGTATATGCATGTATATGTGTGTGTAGCACGATGATCCTCCTAATCTAGCTTGCCTCGAACTGAACTCATCACGTAGCAGAGACTGACCTTGAACTCCTGAGCTCTCTGCTTCTCCCCAGCGCTGGGACTGCAGGCCTGTGCTACCATGGGCACCAGCTTTCTAAAGCTGTTTGTTTTGTTTGTAATTTCAAGTACAACCCAGCAGATTGTACTTGAGAGGGATTGAGGGGTCACTGGGCATCGTCTGCTCCAAGAGAAGGGAAATGAACTTGGGAGGGGTCGACTGGGGACAGTGCCAGAGAAGCCTGGGATGGCTACATGCGCCAGCTTTTCACCACCTGCAAGGGTTTTGTGGCCCCCTTCTAGTCTTACTGCTATGGACCCAAGCTTATCTCTCTCCTACTTTCTGATAGCTTTTTGAAACCTTTTAACACTCCTCAACCCTTCCGTCCTACCTGAGGTAGGCGTGTTGATTAGAGGACACTGAAAAGTGTAAGATCATATTTGAAGTCTTGGTTGAAAATCCAGAGAATTTTTGTAGACATATTTCATTTGAAAAAAAAAGCCACTTTAACAGTAATATCAGTGTTACTTATATGGAGATATTTCTTGGGCAGAACATCAATTTGTTTGGATAAACTGTAACCAACAGTCCCCACCTTCAGAGGTGTTAGGCTCTGGAAAAAAAAAAATTTGGGCTGGGCGGTGGTGGCGCACGCCTTTAATCCCAGCACTTGGGAGGCAGAGACAGGCGGATTTCTGAGTTTGAGGCCAGCCTGGTCTACA